GGATCCGAGGCTTTCTATTTTTTTGGGCAAACTTTAATTTAAATAGCTCCCATTTTAAGGGTAAAGAGGATTAGGGTTGATGAGGATTAGGAGTAAAGAAGAAGAGGGTAGGAAGATCTTTCTACGTAGGCGGCCTTCGGCTGCGCTTATGGATTATAACCTTTAATACGCAGAATTTTCTTTTCTGTGTTGTTGGAGAAGAGGGGCGGAACTTCTTTTTGTACATGTAGGAGATACTAACTTTTACCGCAGACCTACTTTTTACCGCAGACCTACATTAATAGGTAGTTAAACGCGGATATACTGTAATTTTTACCGTGGATATAAGGTAATTTTTACCGTGCATCTACGTTAAAAGTTACCGTGGCGCGTGTGAATAGACTCCCTAATTTATGTATATATGTACATCCACCGAAAGCCACGGGAAAACCTAATGTTCAAACACTTGTCCAATTTCGACTACACCATCCCCAATATTTCCGAACAGAACTTTTGACGTTGACTTAAATATAGAATATCCCCCATTAGTCCAAACTCTTAATCGCCGTCTATTCTACGCGGAACTCTTCTAACAAAAATGGGTATTCCTTGGTTGATTGCACTTTTGGAGCGAAAAAACGATAGTATTAACCGTTCCCATCCCAGACGGCGAATACCAATATGTATTGATTTTGTGCCAAGGACTGTCACTTCAACCGCACTCCAATGGGGGGAATGCATTATGATATTACAAAAAAAGAAAACGGCAGACAAAGCCGCCACTGCGGCTACTAATTTGCCCATAAAAAAAAAAACTAAAGTGAGCCTTAAAAAAAGCCAACCCTAAAATCCCTCATCTTAAAACTGCCGTCATGCAATTCCTTTTAATGTAAATCTACTGTAACATTCTTTGTTAATGTTTCCATATGCAAATCTAATCAATATGAAAAATCATAAATAAGTATGTACATATGTGCCTAGAACATACGCAAAAATCGAATATATTTATTTTGCAATTTACAGTGATTCTCGTTCAACTCCATTAAAAAACGATAAGAGTAGCTGCGATAGCGGCGTTTGTGTAAACATGGAGGATCGATCAACCTCAAAAAAAGTCGATACACATCCAGACACTGATGAAATGACCATAATGGAAGTAACCAGTTGCATTGACAAAGCTACTTCATCTCCACTCAGTGCGAATAGCAACACTACACCAAGTTCTACTGTTAATGAGGAATCGGAGATTAGAAGTGCAGGTTGCATCAAAATGGAATTAACAAAATATACCACAGACACAGAAGAAGAAGTAATCGCTACCGCCATGGAAGATGAATCCGCAGCGGCGACCGCTTTAAACAGTAATACTGCTGAGACACCCACTTTTCCCCGTCGCACTCGTCGAGGAACGCGCAATTACCGACAAAGCACACAAGATGATGAGTGCGAAGAAGAGCCGCCTGGAAGAAATTCGTCCGTTGTAGACGGAACTGAGGAAGAGCAAATGGTAAGTGTTTTTATCTAATACAAATGAATCTATTAAAATTCATTCACCCGTTAGCCATTGCTTTCGGTAACACCAGCTCCGGCGGAAGGAGACATAGCCGAAAATAATCTTGATGCCTCGATGCCAAGCGAAAGGGAGAGTGTAAGCTATTAATAATATTAAAAATTCAAATAATTGTGTTGTTGATTTTGTTTTAGTCGCCTGCTGCATCTTCGCCCATTGTCACGAGTGGACCGTTTGACACCAGTACTCCAAATTTCACTGATGACGATGATGACGATGACGATGAGGATGAGGACGATGATGTCGACGATGTCGACGATGACGACGATGACGACGATGAGACTGAAGATGAGGAGGAACATAACTCGAGCGATAACTCCGAGCACGCGAATGCATTAGCTGACGTAATGAACAAACCTAAACCACAATACACCTGGTGCTCGACATATGAGCTAATGCGAAGGGAGCACGGACTGAGTGGTGACGGCCGCCGATCATTAGCCAGTGGTATGTCACCTGGTTTCAATGCACGCTTTTATGCTGCACGGCATGTAGTTGAACGTATGAAGATTTCTCATCGCTTACTCAAGCATAATGGCTGTGTAAATTGTTTGAATTTTAATCGCTCTGGCGACTTGCTCTGCTCCGGATCGGACGACATGCGCATTGTCGTCTGGAATTGGCCACATAAAAAACCAAAATTGGTTTTCAAATCTGGGCATACTGAGAATATTTTTCAAACGAAATTCATAAATAGTCTAGGTGTTTTGGATATTGTGTCAGCCGGACGTGATGGCCAAGTACTACGTTCTATTGTACCTCCGTCTGGGGGAAAGCCGCAAACTTCTTTTCTATATCGTCATATGGGCTCTGTACATAAACTCGTTATAAGTCCCAATAATCCCTTTGAAATCATCAGTGCCGGAGAGGATGCACGTATACGTCGTAAAGATTTGCGGAGTGATGAGAGTGCGACAATTCTATGCAAGGTGGATAGCATAAAGATGAAAAAAATACGCCTCTTTAGTATTGCCCATCATCCATATGCGCCTGAGATATGTGTGTGTGGTTGTGATAATTTTGTGCGAGTCTATGATAAACGTAATATGAATAAACCAGTACATCAAATGTGCCCCGATCATTTAGTTAAAGTAAGTAAGAGGATTTCGCATTTAGACATTTTAAATTTTTAATCATTTACTTTATTACAATTGCTTTTTAGGCGTCTATACCCCAAGTTACTTGCGCTGTCTATAACAGTACAGGAAGTGAAGTTCTTGCTTCTTATAGTGATGACCATATATACTTATTTAATAATAACGAGTACAAGACGGGTGAATATACGCATCGCTACCGTGGACATTAGTAAGTGGATGCCCCACTTTTTATACACATAAATATATGAGATTTACATTCATTTATCCATTCCCAATAGCAATCACAAAACTATTAAGGGTGTCAACTTTTTTGGGCCCAATTCAGAGTATGTGATTAGCGGTAGTGATTGTGGTAACATATTTTTCTGGGATAAAAATACTGAAGCAATTGTTAATTTTATGCCGGGTGATACTATGGGTGTGGTAAGTATTAAACGAATTTATGTGCATTATATAAAAAAAGCATTTACTCTTACACTATCACTCTTCCTAAATGTTAATACCAATCATTCGAACTTAGAGCCGTTTTGTGAGGTTACCTTTAAGTTTAAAGTTCACTTTATGTTGGATTAAGTGAGCATTAAAGTTACAGGTTAAGTTGNCTATGGGTGTGGTAAGTATTAAACGAATTTATGTGCATTATATAAAAAAAAGCATTTACTCCTACACTATCACTTTTCCTAAATGTTAATACCAATCATTCAAACTTAGAGCCGTTTTGTGAGGTAACCTTTAAGTTTAAAGTTCACTTTATATTGGATTAAGTGAGCATTAAAGTTACAGGTTAAGTTCAGAAAACGGCCCTCAGTGCAAGTAACACCCATTCGAAAAATGTCGAACAGTTTTATATTTAAAATGTCAACAGGTTTTAAACGCTTTACATTTTTTTTTATTTTTTTACGGAGGGAAATACAAATACAAATTTTTTTTAGGTAAATTGTTTGGAACCACATCCGACGATTCCTGTGCTGGCTACATCTGGCCTCGATTCCACCATAAAAATTTGGACACCAAGTAGTGAAATGGTATGCTCCGCTTTATATTACATTTTGTAATAAAAATCGAATAATGATTTTCATATTACTCCACTAGTATCCTNTTTTTTTAGGTAAATTGTTTGGAACCACATCCGACGATTCCTGTGCTGGCGACATCTGGCCTCGATTCCACCATAAAAATTTGGACACCAAGTAGTGAAATGGTATGCTCTGCTTTATATTACATTTTGTAATAAAAAACGAATAATGATTTTCATATTACTCCACTAGTATCCTCCGGATTTATCGAAACTCGAGGCGTGCGTTAAACGCAATCTAAGACGCTCTCTTTTCGGCGAAGGCCGAGGTTTCGATGGTCGAGAATTTCACTACTTTATACGCCAATTTCTTCGCCGTCCTCCGCGACGTGTTACGTATTTAACGGGTGAAGATGTGGGCGAACAGACTGACAGTAGCAGCAGTGATGGTTTAGACAGTGATGGTTTAGATTGTCCACGAATTGAGGGTATACAATGCCACACGCAATGAAATTGATTTTTTCCGCCGCCAACATTTTTAAAAAGTGGCCGAATTGTTTATGAAATAAATATGTTGGAAGAAATATCAACGATGCTTACGTTTAATATTATATTATTTTCTATTGTTTGTTTAAATTGTTGTCCCCCCTTTTTTTTTGTTTTTTTTTTTCTGAATACATATATTTTTGTGTACGATGCCGCAAAGCGTCCACGAGGTCACTAATGATCGATTACATCTTATTTGCAACATCGTGCCAAAAANAAATAAATATGTTGGAAGAAATATCAACGATGCTTACGTTTAATATTATAATATTTTCTATTGTTTGTTTAAATTGTTGTCCACCCTTATTTTTTTTTGTTTTTTTTTTCTGAATACATATATTTTTGTGTACGATGCCACAAAGCGTCCACGAGGTCACTAATGATCGATTACATCTTATTTGAAACATCGTGCCAAAAGTTATGTATTGATTATCAAAAAATACATATGTATATATTTCATGTAATGTTTGAATTAAATATTGAAACCATTGAATACAAAAATAATAAAAAATATGCATATACGCATGAGGGATGAACTAAATTAAACTAATCGGTTTTTTGACATAGTAAAGCAGCGCTACGTTTAACCCAATGAGAGGCTTTGAGTCTCGTTTTTAGTAGTATCGGAATAACATAGTTGGTGGAATGTCCGGTAGTTGAAAGAACACCTTTGCGTTCAGATGTTTTGTATAGAGGGCATTTGTAGCGTGTACCTTCGACAAGTTTGATAATCTCCAGCGGCTAAAAAGAGGAGAGAAATACAGAAACTATTTAACAAATTTGTATTCGCATATAAGTATGTATATACAAACTACTTTAGAATCTAATAGATTTCAATAAAGATAATTCTCGCTAAATAATTGGCATATTTGCAATGTGTGTATTACGTAATGTATTTTTTATGTCGATGAAAAGGTAGTGCAGGTTAAGGCAGTTGCCCCAAAGAGGGGCCCACTAGACTATAAGCATTGGTCCTTCGTGATGCCACTAAGAACGGCGACAATGCGGAGCCGGTGTGTTATAATTAGTATCACCTCATGAATTAAAANGACAAGTTTGATAATCTCCAGCGGCTAAAAAGAGGAGAGAAATACAGAAATTATTTAACAAATTTGTATTCGCATATAAGTACGTATATACAAACTACTTTAGAATCTAATAGATTTCAATAAAGACTAATTCTCGCTAAATAATTGGCATATTTGCAATGTGTGTAGTACGTAATGTATTTTTTATGTCGATGAAAAGGTAGTGCAGGTTAAGGCAGTTGCCCCAAAGAGGGGCCCCACTAGACTATAAGCATTGGTCCTTCGTGATGCCACTAAGAACGGCGACAATGCGGAGCCGGTGTGTTATAGGGCAGTGTTCTGTCACTATAAATGAGAACGGCTTCGTGAAAGGAAGGAGACGACACCCTCAGCCCGAAATATTGGTATTTTTCTGCTATACTTCTCCTCCACCAAAAGTGTTCAGAAATGATTAGGAATTGGATAACAAATATCGCTTAGCTTAGTCAAACTGTCCCTTAAAGGAATTCTGCTCAAAAGTAGTATGGGTAGTGTAGCCAGAGTTGGACTGATGAGGGAACAGATAATACCCGAGATATTTTGCAGTAGCCGCGCTGACCCAAAGCCTATTTGTCCAGAGTAGTTCACATGTAGTCAAAGATATACCCATTCTTTCCTCTGTTACACTAACTTGTGGGTGAATTTCCTGGCCAGCTTANCTTAGTCAAACTGTCCCTTAAAGGAATTCTGCTCAAAAGTAGTATGGGTAGTGTAGCCAGAGTTGGACTGATGAGGGAACAGGTAATACCCGAGATATTTTGCAGTAGCCGAGCTGACCCAAAGCCTATTTGTCCACATGTAGTCAAAGATATACCCATTCTTTCCTCTGTTACACTAACTTGTGGGTGAATTTCCTGGCCAGCTTCTCCACCACGCAATTTCATGCAATAACACTGTGGACTGACACCCATCCAAGCCTGACTAGGATATACTTGAGGTCAAAACATAGTGGAGCGGCGAGCAAAACGAAGAGCTAGCATCGAGCAAAGCTTCAATTACAAACGTGTATATACGCTTTGCTCTTTACTATGCGCTTTTGTATATGCGTTTGAAATTGACGCTTTGCTCGATGCTCTTTGCTCGCGAAAACGAAAGAGCGGTGAGGAGTTGCTTGGCTAACTGCCGTGCCTAAATTAGAGCGCTAAGCGTTGCGTTTTCCGTTGTCAACGACGTTTTCTCATTTCCTCTCGTGTTTATTCTGCTTTCTTCTTTCACTTTTTTATCCTTTCTCTTTCTTTCCGTCTTCTGCATCCAACTTCAAAACGTAACGCCCTANGCCGTGCCTAAATTAGAGCGCTAAGCGTTGCGTTTTCCGTTGTCAACGACGTTTTCTCATTTCCTCTCGTGTTTATTCTGCTTTCTTCTTTCAAAAACGAAAATTCCATTTGCTCGGCGCTACCGCAGCGTTGTTGTGGGATGCTCCATGCAAATTATACGGGCATGAGGATTTTTGACAGTTGTTTGGCGTTTGCCGCGCCAATTTACACCTACTCCCGACACCTGACGTGGGCAAGACAGAACTTCATCTACCTCGCGAGACTCGCACTACCATAGCCCAACTTCGCTCTGGATACAGCAGCAAGCAAACCTCCTACCAAAGCCGGATAAATGCATATTTTCGCAGTGTGTGTCCGGCATGCGGAGAGTCACCTAATGACTCGCAACACCTCTTCGTATTATCGCTAAAACCCAACTCAACTAACGTCCCTTTCCCTATGGACCAATCCAGTTGGAGTGGAACACTTTCTGGGTCTGCCTTTAGTGGAGCTTGACGGCAACGATTGAGGGACAAGCTGACCTAGGCAGGGCTAAGTAGCCGCTATAACAACAGCAACAATTACCACATTCCACGGTTTGTTAGTTTAACTAAATCGGTTTCGACCAAAACCTAAGGATCTGTTGATTGTCACCCGGGAAGTACTTTATTTAATGCCCTCTCGATGTCGAAGGCTTACTATTATCGACTACAGGATCGTATGAAGGTCGTTTACGACCGACGTACTCTTGATGAAGGCAAAATGAGCTCCTGCTAGACAATCGTGAGGAGTTGTATTTCTAATGTGCAAATCGATTAAACTATTCAGGATTTTTGAAGAAAAACGAAGAGGGACTGATTGACTAGCTATCTTTAAAGTGAGAGCTTAAAAAAGAAAATTTTGAAAAAAATGTCGCTTACGTTATTTTGGCGGTTAGAGCTCGATATGTAAGTGTATATGTGCATGTAAACTTACCTTAAAATAAATGGCAGGCACTGTGTAAATAAGTATTTTTGGTAGTTGCTCATCTATGATGTTTTCCTTCAAATTCCATCTAGCGCCTTCAAGGAACAGTCCATTTACGAAGACACCATCCGCTGGTGGCGATTTCATGCTGGCAAAAAATATACATACATACAGACATTTGTATGTTTATATCATGGATTGATGCATTCATTATGTTTACCTATCCTCATATAGCACATCAAAATCAAATGTTAGCGTATCAATTGGAATTTTGTATTTGCGTGCGAAATTCTGCATAGCACCAGTAAGAAAAGCTTGAGTGAAGAAAAAGCCAGACAACCAAAACGTCGGCGGCTTACCGTGCACATGCCTATTGAAAAGAAGATTACTTAGTTTAAGCGATGCCTAAAAATGGTGCACCAACTAACTAACCAATGATGCAACCAGTCGAGGCGCTTATATAAATCTTGAATATAAGAAGCCAACGTTTTTAGACTAGGATATGATTTGGTCAACCACTTGGCCGGTATGCGATTTAGTTTAATAGCATTGAGCACATTCTCCAATTCGGGCGTCATCACAACAATTCCTTTTATAGCCATATCGAGATCACGACACGAGGCGCGTATTTCTTTTTGCAATTTCAGGAAACGTTCCATTTCCTGTACCAAAACCGTATTCATAGACTCGTCATAATTAACTGGATACTTGATTTTAGCATCATCAATATCCATGTCGGCCGGCATAGCTTTGACAATTTGGGCAATAGTTTGTAACAGCGTTTCGTCTAGACTCTGTGCGCCAGCGCCAGTTGATGCCATCTCGCTACCAACAATCGCAATCATCGAGTCAAGTAGTGTTTTAGTAGTTTGAAGATCTCGCGTAATGCCTGAATTGCCATGCAGGCCGTAAACTTCTGGTGCTGCTAATGAGGGATAATTTTCATCTACATAACGTAAAATTTCACGGTGTTCCGTCTTGCGTGGCAATATGAAGCGATCGTCTGTAGCGAAGCGATAGCGATTATCGTTCACCGCATCTGCATTTAAATAATCGGCTAATATGGTGACAATAGCGCGACGATCCCAATAGTCTGTGACGCGACCACCGTAATTGCATTCGGCTGTCAAGTAGGACAAGGCATCATAGGGTACATGGTCATATTGATTAAGCAACATCTGCAATGGAATGATCGTTTAAGGAAATGGAAAGCAACTAATTGATTACGTACGCTCAATTGCATAACGGAAATTTGAAGATCGGACTCATTGAAGCCATAGGCGATATTCCAACCTAATGGTCCATACTTACGACGCTCCTGCACTACTGCATGGAAAAAGCAAATACCAAAGAGTAAACGCGTAAAGGCGCGATCTTGCTTGGCGCAACCTGTAAATGAATATATATATATATGTATGTATATATATATTATGAGATTAATGGGAAGCATGTAAAATACCCCCCAAAAAAAAACGGTTAAACCCTGCATGCGTTGGAAGCCTAAGGCATTTAATGCTACCTGACAATCCGACATAATATTCTGGCTTCATTTGTCCTTCTACGAAGACATTTTTGATTACAATTCTCCGGTGGTTCATATTCGGTACGTCGGCATACCATACTTGGAACTCTCTGTCTATCATAGATATTATGGCTTCACAGCACTCCCTTTCAGAATTTCTGACCTTGTAGGGCTTGTGAAGGGATAATTTCGGTAGCACATTATCTGTGAACTTGATAGCGCCATCGTCCAAG